GTAATTAGATTTCGTTAGATAATTTTAAATTTGTCCGATTTTCGAGGAGTATAGTATTTTATAAATTATACTGAACGAACAAATTTTATGGAATGATAATTAAATTGTAATACATGATGTTACATATACATTAAACTTTCTATGGAATCCACCATAAATTTGTAAATATCATTTAATAGGTGCATTAGTTAAGCAACAAATAGTGTTTAAAATATAATTTGAAGAACGTTTATGAAAGTATATACAAAATGTCTTTAGTTAATATAATAAGTAATTGTAAATATAAATTAATGCAACACCGTTTGTATGTCGTGTAAAATGGCTATGTTTTATCTAAACAAAGTTTTATTGTGATATCTTGAATAAATTAGGATCTGTTTTTTACCAGCTTTTTGCATCTTTTAATTCATATAATTTTAAGTAATTTTATATTCTCGTATATACAATGTTATAATATAATGAAAATATTCTAAATTAATTGTTTTATATTTTTTTCGTTGTCAATAATAATAAGAAACTATTCTATTATTAATAATCAAAGACTCTAACTTCAATTCTATACAAATGGTGAGAAAATAACAAAACATAGTTGATAAATATTTATTAATTAGGAGAGTAGTAACATACAACATTAGTTATATAAATAAATTTTGCTTTTAAATTTAATATTATGATGCAATATGATTTTGAGGGTTGTTCAACAACAAATGAAATATACCTGCAACATCATCATTCAATTACCATTCCACATTGATCTGTGTATGTTAGCCATTCCTCTGTAGTTCTTGTTGGTCAGTATCTCATTTTTATGACTCTGGTTCGGTCAGTTTCCATATTTTGTATACTTTATTATGTATATATGCAACGTTTGATGTCTGTAAGCATATCATCATATAGCTTTTTTAATTTTAATTTTTGTGCTCGTATATTTCTACATATAGAGTTTACAATAAAATACTTATTATTAAAACACAGTGTTCCTTTTAGTATTCCTACAGAAGGACAGAATTTGTACTACATTATCATCACAAGCATATAAAAGGAATGTTATTAATCCTAAAATAAAAATAAGTAATTGTTTAATATTATACTCTTACATTCTAATATAAATAATATATTTAATATTAAGATATGTAGTAAATATTTATTTACTAGACAAATACAGCGCAGCGAGTATTTGTGCCACTGATTGAAAATATAAAATACATTACATGCTTACACTATTTGCATATGATATATCAGTAAAATTAGTTATCTTGAAGTATTCAAAAATATATTGAAGACCATAAATATGACACATATATTGTTGTGTACTGAGATAAAGTATACTTCATTTATTTTCTATTTAGTTATGTATATTGGAAGAATTAAGTACAGCTTATCTAGCTGGAAAAGCACATTTCTTTTATCATTTCAGTAAGCTACGAGTTCGTACAAACTAAGTTCCTTTGTTTAACATAAGTTAGAAAATTAATGTATGTGTAAACTCATATGATTCATGAAAATTACTGAGCGCAGAACAGGACTTAAGTATAGTATATTGTACCGCTGGACAGTAGAAGCCGATACTAAAAATGCACTTTGGATTTATTATCGCGACCACAGTCATAGCTACTATTAACATTAATATTATTGTTACTGGTATTATTTCTATTATTACTAACTTTTTTAATGATATATGCAAATTAGAGATCGACAACAAATTGTGATGCATGTACAAACAGAAAGGTTTAGTTTTTAATTGAAAATACACAGCTATTTACAATAAACGTGTAGCACATAAATCTGCAATTTCTCATAGAACACAAGACAATATTATAACTAGTCATAAGACAAGACAAGACAGGACAGGACAGGACAGGACAGGACAGGACATGACATGACATGATGTAATTATTATTCAACTACTTTGTAATTCTTATTTTCCATTGACTTTTATAAAAATTAAACTTCAAATGAGTAGAAACAAAAAATAAGAATTACAAAGTAGTTGAATAATAGTTACATCATATCATGTCATTCTTTGTCTTGTCTTATAACTAGTTATAATAATGTCTTATGTTTTACGATAAAAATTACAGATTTATGTGTTACAGGTTTATTATAAATATAAAATATTGTGTCATTATATATATATAAAATTTATATAATTAAAACCTGAAAAGCAAATGAGTCGAAGTGCTGGCAAAATGTAATTCTTTTGTACAATTCATTGTTTGTTAGTAAAAATAGAGGAGATAACTATATATGGGATTTATTATTTACTTTAATATATTACTTTAAAATGGTAATAGACTGTTAACTATAGTTAATTTCAGGACTTTTTAATTAGGAACAGTAATATATACTTTGGTATACATACAATAGATTTTTATGTTTAAGAATGGCCTTGATACATAGTTTCCATGTTACACAAATAGGAAATTTTGGACGGGTACAAAATCAATCACATAAAAGTAATAAAGTTAGTATATGATTACCTGACGATCTTGTTTCATTAATTGATTCAAGCCTATATTTGTAGAAATCATTAACACTGAGCTTTTATCATATTTTTTTAAACTTATACAATACTTACATGTTCTTAATAATAAATAAGGTGTTGATTATTAAATTTCATAATTTGGTAATTTTTATCTATCACCCATTTTACATGTAACATAATTTATTGAAGACTATGTTAATAGTTTACTGGTACACTGTTCTCATTTAATTACAATGTTTCAGACTTCGCAACATTTATTAACTGAATAATTGTATCTCGAATCCTTCTAGCGATTGAAATACAAATAATTTAATGTAAAGTACAATTTTTCTAAGAAACTAAATTCAAGGCCTCCCTACTACACTCTTACCGCTCGATTTTAAAAACGATTTAAATAAAATATTGATACACTGTTTTCTTGACACAACTTTTATATATGTATACACAATATTGGTATTTCTAAAACTAAGTGATCAGTTTTTCTACTCTTCCTGTATATGAAAAAATTTGAAAAATTTGAAATCTCTCAAATTATAGAATAAGCAGTTATACGACTGTTTCCAAAACATATAACAAAGGAAGAGCATGAAAAACTGTTCGACCAAGTAAATATTCTGAGCGCAAGTTCTCTAGAGCTACAAAAATATATAATTATATATAGTAATATTATGCACTTTTTATCAACATAGCAAGAGGATACAATATAAATATTCTACTAAGTGTTAATGAAAATCTAGATCTGTGAAATAATTTGAGCCTATAAAAAAATAGTGCTATTTCGTAAGTGAATTATTATACAAAAATATTAAAATGGATGTTTGTTTTTTTTGCTTTAAAGGTTTTATACAAATTATAAGAAATATAAAAACCTTAAATAATTTGAAGGTTCTAAATTTAAGACATTTCAACTCTTTGGAACAGTACATAATTTATTGTAATATACAAACATAATTTGAATTAATTTCTCACATTATCTAGTTTTCCATAGGGTATAAATGTCTGTACTTATTCTCAGTAGAATACCTTTAAATCCTCTGCTTATAATAACTGTAATATAAACATTTTTCACTCCTTGGTTGAAGAATTTATAAAATTTAACAATAAATTGTAATAATTATGAAAATTACCAATACCAATAGTAGTAATTGGAATCAGTTGCAGGATGTACTTATAAATTTCATTTTGTATTCTTTAAAATTATACAATATAAAATACACAAAAAAATATTTCTCGATAATTAAGTGTTACAAAATATCAATATCTTTTTCCAATTATCTGTTTTATAATAACCTTTCAAGACAAAAAGAAGATATAAAAAACAAAGACTTCCTTTACCTATACATATTCTTAATTATTTGTATGTTACTTGTACTGTGAACTAAATGTCTTAATTGGTAACAAACGAATGTTGTTTAATAATAATTATTAAGTACAGTGAGACCTCCATATTCTTAAAAAATTGGTTCCAAGGCCTTCTATAGATACGAAAATTTCTGGGTAGTCGCACACCTTATTACGTATATACATACATGTGTATATACTCATGCGTTGCAAGTATGTACGTATATACTTTTGTATTGTGTTTTGTCACATATTTTTAGACACATTGCGAAGACGACGAGCTTCTAAAACGTGTCGAATTTGCAAAATTATGTAGATATTTTTAGAAATAAATTATATATCTGAAGGCAATTTCTTCAAACCGAAACTATATTAGCGAATATAGGGATCCCACTGTATTATAAAAGTTTATATTACTATAAAATCTTTAAACGTTTTTTACTGTATCTTGATTTTATCAAGTAACCCTGCAATTTAAGACATTTCTCCTGAATGCTATAAAATTCTTTTTGTAATAAATAATCACAAACGGAAAATTAATATCTTGTATATTTATCAAATACATGAAATAACTTAGAAACTTTAAAGGTCAACCATGTACACGCTTTCTGACTGGGTAAATGTATAACATTTTACAATCTTTAGATGTATTTTTAAACTCTAATTTATTTTTGTCAACAATAACATACTGCAAGAATTTACGATCTGCACATGTTCGTTCAGTGACAGATTTATTTCAGATAAGACTTAGTTCATAATATACAAATGTACTTTTCTTACAATTTTAAAACGAATTTCTTTATATCAGAAGGGATCGTTAAAATAAAGGTATTTCTATCAGCATCTGCATCGTTATGATTATGGAACATGTATAATGATTATGGTTGCACACTTGATGCAGTATAGAAAAAGATCAAGGGTTAGTTATATCAAATTCGTATCCCATACTTACATTATGATTGAGTGTTTCACGGGGACATACTTTACGAAACACTTGTTCAATGAAAGGTTGCCTAAAAAAAATAAAATATATAAATTATTATTAAAATGAATAAGTTTACAAATTTAAGGATATTTCGAAACTTGTATAAGATCAAATTTTAAAACGATAAATTTTAGACAGAAAATTCAATCTCTGGAAATGTGTCAAATATGATAAATAAACTTGAATACCATTAAGATTAAAGGTACCAATCATAATGCAATTATTGTAACTAAAAACATTACTTATTATATCACGTTTGAATGAAAATTAAAAAATTTACAAATATACTCACTTTGCTGGAAGACCACCGCCAGGAGGCAGATTAGGAATCTTTTGGTCCACAAGAAATTGTAATATCTTCACAAAATCAATTTGATCCTTTTGTGCGCCAATCATTGCTAAAAATATAATAAAAAGATTATGAATTGTAAATCAATTTTAAATTATTTATACAAACATTTTATTGTTATTAAGTGCATTTGTGTATTTACTATCATATTTGTGCTGTTCAAAAAATGTTCTAATAAATGCCGCTTATTAACTTTTATTGGTACTATTAAATAAATCAAATAGATTTTGTAATACTTATTATCATTAGAAATTTTTATAAATAAAAAGTATAAATTACTACTTTTCATTATTATCTATTATAACAGAAATTACTATTAAATGAAAAAATAAGCATATAACACAATGACTATAAATACATGCATCTACTTAGGACTGGAATGGTTAGTGCTTGAATACATTTCTTATGGAAAACCTGAAAAATGAAATCCGGTCTTAAGTAGATACATTTCGCTTATGTGTATTTATGATTACATTTGTAATTTTTTCTTAAACTTATCCACCTCTGGAATTGCACCATACTAATACGAAATCTATAGATTTGAAAAACAATATTCTCGTTGGAATGTTCCTCCATAAGAAATGTGTTATTAAAGAAAAAATACCAATGTAATAGGTAATACATTTGTATACCTTCATAAGGGAACGTTCACCTACCTGTTACACCACTTATGTGTCTAAAGAGAGGAACAAACAACTTTTTTAACTAAAACTTTACTTACAACAATCTTTTTAAAAATATCAACTCCAAGGGTGGAATATATTTGTAAGCAAGAATAATTCTAGGTATTAAAACAGTTTAATTAAAGAAAAAATAATTAGTACAATTTAATAACAAGAAAAACTAATATTAAATATAAATAACTCTTAATATATTTATAACTTTTTATCCACCTAATACCTTAAATAGAGACACAATCGTTACTACTCTAGTACGATAATGTAATGTCTATATTAATAATATCATTTTGGAATAATACTCAAAAAATGTACATAATAGATGTTTTCATAATATATTGATCAACGTTGAAAATATGTTTAGTATTTTTCAATTTTACAAGTACTTTGAATACATTAAACATTCCAGTAAAGTATACTATACACCTTTTTACAATATACTTTTAAAGAACTTTTGTACTTCTGTAAAAGGTATTATTTAAAAACAGTGCACAATGGAATACAATTGTACAGATTAACCACTCAATACTATGGAAATTAAAGTATCTATCACATGAAAAATATACGCGAAATATGATATGTTTAATAACGTGTAAACAATACACAGTACACAAATGATAACAACAAGGAAAGATGAATATTATGATAAAAAATGAAAATTTTCTTAATTCTTGCATACTACTTACTAATTGTATATAATGGGAAGTTATGGTGTATTATATGCAAAGTACTTTTATATTGCACAAATATGATTAAATATAAGGAAAAATATTAAAAATGGAATCCTCCTCTACTTAGATGATACTACATATAGTTTAAGTAACTATTTATATGTATTCCACTTTTATATAATATTTTATCCGAAAAATGTACAATTAGTAATTTGTAATTACTGTTAATAAAAATTTAATGCAACGTAACATTA